CTACATCTTTTTTGAACAGAGATTTTCTGCCGGTGTTGAGAAGCTGGGGAAAAGCACCAGGATGCAACGGACAGGGCTGCTTGGCTCTCAGTATCAAAGGAGAGTTGGCAGGACCAGCAGGCAGCCAGCAACTAAAACTGGTGCAGAAGTAGTAGTGGGCGCAGCAGGAGAAAATCATTGTTAGAAAGGAATGAGGAGACAAAGACAAAAGAGAAGAGCAGGACGATGGACCAGTAACCACTGCAGACCCACCAAGACCTCTGAGGACACGCAGCCATCATGCTAGCCCTGGCACAGGCTGGCAGAGCAGCTAATGTCTCCTTCTCCTTAACGCTCAGCCCTGCTAAGGCTGCTGCCACCTGAAGTAGTAATCCTCCCCACCACATGTCAACCCCCCTGATGATAATTTTCTGTTGAAATCTACTGTAGATTCAGTCATCAAGTGTTTTTAGATCAAAAGAGTCAGGATTTCTTCCCCAGGCTTGCACACACTGACCAGTACTAAGGCTGTCTGAATTTCAAATTCCAATATGTTGACTTAGGTTGAATAGGTTGGACCAGACGATTCAGAGAGGTCCCTTCCAACCCCTACCATTCTGGGATTCTGTGACATAATGTCAATACAAAAAAGAAGGCATTTCACAGATTCATAGAATAGTTTCGTTTGGAAAGCACCTCTGGAGGCCAGCTGGCCCAAACTCTGCTCAAAGCAGGGCCAGCTCCACAGCTGGATCATGTTGCTTGGGCACCATCCAGCCCAGTTTTGAGTCTCCCCAAGGAGGCAGGCTCTGCAACCTGTCTGGGCAACCTGTTCCAGTGCTTACGCACTCTCACGGTGAAATGTCCACGGCAGCTTCCTCACGTTGCCCATCAGCTGACTAGAATGAGACTTCTTTGACAAAACTGAAATTCTGGCAGCACACGACACTATATTGTAAAGATTTCAAGGGACTTTCTTTCAAAATTTCTCATTTTTTTAAAAACCAGGCCATGATATCTTCCAATTATAAGATTTTTTTTTCACCTCATTACCTATGCAGCACAACATCTGCAAGGTCATGGCATTAATTTTTGAAATCACAATACAGTATCATAGAAAAGATCAATGCAAAAGATAACATCTAAAAAGCAAAAGAAGAGTAAAGAAGGCAAGGTAGGGTTTTCAGAGGCATCTAGGGCACTGCAAGTTCAAAGGGATCTCCGTATCATCATTCATTAGGCATAGTATTACTGCTGACCCTACTGCAGTCCGTATCTATAAGCAGAGAAAAACCCACCTGTTCCTCAAAGAGTTTTAAAGTGAAGATAGCACCTACGTAGAGAAATATAAAAAGAACACTATTTTGTTTCCATCATGCATAATAAATGTAGCGAAGGGAAATAAGTACAAGCTTATTACTCACAACTGCTGACAATGATATGTTTAGCTTGTCAATCAGTGCAACTATGAGGGCATCTGAACAACACCATCATTAATGGTCACTGCAAAGCCAACAGGGAATCGACCGCCGCAGAGCACAGGAGCGGGAGCTGCCATTCAGCATCATACAGCAATCTTGTCTATATTGGACGCTTCTAAATCGGGCCAACATGAACATGGCACAGCAGAAACAAGGGGTGCTTTCCAGCACCTTCCAGCCATTGGGTGATGTATGCTGCAGCCGCCCTGCCGCCCCCACCAAATGCCGAACATGACCCTCAGCCTGTGATGGGGACCGAACAAAATGGAGGAAAGGCAAAATCCAGCCTCCTTCCTTCAGTGTGAGCAGTTCTCACTCGAGGGTCTTTCACGATCACGGTCCCTGCCCCCCAAGCCACACGATGATTTCTAAACATTAAAATGGCAGAGGTATCAAACTGACATGGAACAGGGAAGAACCCAAGTTTTAAAAACTTACTATGTCTGAAAGACACGTTTTAAATGCCTCACCACAGCCTTTTCCTGAGTTTTGCACACTAGTTAACCTAACAAGATGCACTTATCCTACGGAAGCAAGGCCAATTCCTTCCGATGCCCTGGGATCACAACTTTTTGCTGCTCTGTACAATTAAATGGCCTTTGTTCTCAGCAACCTGAAATTTTTTAAGGGAAAATGCACAGAAACTACAGAATCTGTTTCCAAGAGGTTCTGCTAATGCCCTGTGACCACAGTCTGCTCCCTTCCAGTTACCCTGCAAACTCCCAGTTTGCTTTTGCGTGGGGAAGATACCTTCCATCCAAAGTAAACACGGTTTCCAAGCTTGAGACAGTAAATGCGCCAACCCCTACGCTGTGACCATGACAATTCGTTTTTCCCCTTTTCAAAAATAGTATGCAATGAATGGATCTGAAAAATTGTCCCTAGTCTCTCCAGGTGTCACAATATTTCTGGTCTGCCAATAAAATGGGTACAGTGAGGAAAGACTCTCTCTCTGGCACTATGTCTGCTTCGTGTGACTCCTTCATACATCACTCCTCTTCTGGCAAATAACACTCCGCGTGACGGAGTCCAAAAGTAAAACCACTCTTGGGAAGCCAAAAAACTTGCAGAATGAAGAGGATTACCACTGTCAGAGCCATCTCTCGTCCAGCCTAACGCGTGTCGCAGCACGGGGCACGCTGCAGTCCCAGAAGCCACCGGTTGCCCTGGGGCTTGCAGGGAGCTGCTGATTTCCCCCGGTTTCACTCCCTCCACCCGCCTTAACAATTACGGTAAATTCTTGCAAAATCAGCATCTCAGCCTACCGAACTGAGACACTGTGACATTCGCCCCATCACGGTCTCTCTTTCTGCTTGCATTTGAGGGAACTGGTAAAATGACAAAACAGCAACACGAGAATCCTTCGAGCAGTGGGTCCTGAAACAACCTGACACCTAAAACAAGAACCTCATGTCACGTCACACCTGGCAGTCTCTCATCTAGCAGGAGATCTATATATGCTAAAAAAAGAAAGCATCAGAATATTTAAGCATTATCCCTCACTGAAAAATCAGACTTTCCAGGGTGAAGCCTGTACTCTGACACCCGATGAAGCCACGCTACAGGTCTCGCTGAACGCAGAGCACCTTCTGCAGCTTCAGAGCCAGCACGCAGTCACTGGCGGCGTTAAATCCATACCCACGAGTACTGACACTGCTTTCAACAGATGAACCTACCAAAATTACCTGGGACAGAACTTCATGCAGTGCAGTTGCTTTCGAGCTAAGCATGAATTTCTGTTGCTACTCAAGTGCCTAAAAACAAAATTATGAACCCAATTTCCTATTTGTTTCCAGATTCTTCCATTTCTGGTAAACAAAGTAGACCCTGCCTTGATTCCTGGCTAGAATCACACCTTCTTTCTGGAGATGAAGCTCTGTATTTGAAATGTTGTCACCCATGCACAGTTAATTAGTAAAATACTTCAGAAACAATGTATTTTAATTGCTCACAAAGAAAAATCCACTGTAAGAAAGATGACGGCAAACCACTTACAACTGCTTTGACTACAAATTTTCAAACCATTCAAATTACTTTAAAATTAGGCATTTTCATGTTTTCAAGTCTTTATACAAGCATGTGAATTGCCTTAAGCCTTTTTAATGAATGTTTTTCATTAAAAGACCGTAATGCAATTAATAAGAAATTATTAAAGTGGAATTAATAAATTAAATACCTCCAGTGACATTTTAAAAATACTGAGATCAAAGCTTACACAAATTTTGTTAACAGTAAGACAATTTCATTTTTTGGCCTTTCTGTAGAAGCAAGGGTTTTCTTGTTCTCCCGAGTTACACACGATCTCTATACACTACTGAATACACTACTTCAATCTTTAGCCAGCTTTTTCCACATCTACAGACAAAGCATGCAGTAATCTAAATATGAAAGGAGTAATTGCATCGATTCAAAGGTGACACTAACATGACTGCAATAACAAAAACAAAAAAGATAATAAAAAGCTATTTACTGTTTTATCAACCAGTTCTTCTAAAAGCTTCCCAAAGAAATTCCTCTGTAGCAGTCTGAAACTGCCTGTCTGCAACGGATGCAACAAATCCATCTGACAAGGCTTTAAACAGCCTGCAAAAGAGTGATGTTGTTTGACAGACACACATATGTGCTGTTCTTTTATTAGTTAACGCAAGGCATTGTCCACTTTAGAAGCATCTTTTTAACTGAGAAGTATATTCACCTGTACTATTCACATCAGCACAGATGCTCAAAAATGAATCAAATTTCCTTTTCCTTTCCTCTATGTTTGTTTGCTTTTCGCTTTTTTCTGTCTATACAGCAGAAGTCAACTACATCAGTTTCATTTTTGTACAAGTTCAGTTGCTGTAACTGTCAGGCATAAGGTCTGCACAGGGAAAAGCATTCTGCCTAGAGTATTCACTTCAGCGCCTTTAAGTCCTGATCATGCTTAGCCATGGTTTTACTGAATCTGCAGACAAATATTGTTTGGTTTTTGGTTTTGGGGTGGGTTTGGTTTCTTTCAAGGATTAAATGCAATACAGTAAGGTACAGTAGAGTGGAAAGACTGCATCCATCTTTTGTAGTTCAGCACCCCCGGCCACACGGAACAGATGTGCCACCACTTCAAGTCACGTAAGGTGAGCAGCTCTCTGCTGCTGGAGTCAATGACATCACCTACTTGCTCAGCTCCTACACAATGCTGAAAACTCCCAAATTTTGAGGAAGATACACAACCAGCCAACATGCAGTTGCAAGGACTGTGGCAGGAACACTTATTTTGGGAGAAAGCAGAAAAGCTCCTCATAAATCTCTACTGGCAGGTATAGACCCTGTTGAATTCAATTACAGCGCCAGTCTATACCAAGCTAATTTTGATTTTCCAGCAAAAATAATCAATTAAGATATGAAAGACTGACGCTGGGTCCTTCCCTTTTGCTAACCGTACCACCAGCGCGACATGGTTCCTGGAGGGGGGACTCCCCACAACCCAGCCGCTGCAGGCAGGGGACGAAGCGCAGCAGTCGGCCGGGGGAAAACCCCCTTGTCCCCATCAGTGAACTGTACCTGACGGTGCGCTAGCTGCCGTCACAGCTGTACTCGTCGAGTGCGTAGGGCTGCTGCTTCCCGACAAGAGACAAGAGCTGCCACCGCTGTTCTTCTTAGCAAATGTCTCGGGGGCACTGGGCAGGGGCACTGGGTGGCTGATTCCCAGTTCCTCTTCCTGAGCTTGCTGCCTTCTCAGCGCAACCTGGGAACAAGAAGACAGATGTAGGGCTCGCTCTCCAGCTTCAGCACAACCTATAACAGCAACAACGAGAGATGCAAACTCGAGGCTGTTTTTTGCTCTTGGTACTCTCTGCAGTGTTGATGTCACGATCCAGCCACTGGGTAGAGGAGGACATCAAGGAGGTTATAAAGCTATTTAAAACCAACGCCTATTTATGTCCAAACATAATGAACAAACCTATGCAATGCGGGTGCCATATACGTCTTCCTCCAGCGAGGCCACGTGAAGATGTGTTAAAGCTGACTGCACTCACCCGACACAGCCGCTCTTGGGCAAAGCATACTGTGAAAAGCATCCTCACTACCCTCATTTAGCTGCTGGGGACAAGAAATTCATCTACCTGCAGGGCCCCGCTGTGCCTCTTCATCAATACACAGCAGCTCTTCACAAGGGCTTACACCTGCAATCGGCTGCTGTGTCCAAGCCTGCTGGGCTCCCTCGCTAGCTCTTGGCTCAAAATTTAGCCCTTCAAGGGAATTTCAGCGCACTGTACGCAGAGAGCCATCATGGAAGAAGCACAGCAAACGCAGGGAACCATCCTGCAAGCATCTCAGCCAGTGTCCTACACATTGCAGTCAGCTGCCCAGAGCTGGAGTAGCAGGAGCTCCCCACTTCTTTCCCAACCCTGACAATGTTCCAAAGCCCAGCCGGCACTGGCCAAGCCCACAGGCACAATGCAGTCTGGACATGGGTGCAAACAAACCGTATTTGTTGCTTACCGAAAATACAGAGGACCCCTTCTGCCCCATCTGAACTGGTAGATCAATTTTTCACAGCTGTCCACCCATGCCAAGTTGTAACACGTGTCCTGGCTGTATATATGACACGGGGGGCCCTGCAGCTACCTACCCTGAAACTTGCCAGGTGACTGATCCGCATTTGTGTTTGAACCTTGGAAATCTGCCCCAGATTACAGACTGGGATCATGGGCTTTTCTTGCTGGAAATTCTCCTGGGTAACTTGGACAGGACTTCCCTCCATTTCCATGTTCAATAGCAATGTTTTTCTAACACAGATGGGTAATACCGTTAAGAGAAATTAATAACGGGTCTTGCAACAGAGACATTCCAAACAGGAGGTGTAGACTTGCAGACACCATGGGTAACTTTGACTTCATAAGCCAGTAACCTTGACTTGCAAAATTCCGTCAGTGCCAAGGGGCTTACTGCAGAAATATATCAAAAGGGGGAAAGACAGTCGTTCAATGTGTAACTCCTACACAGATAAGGCTTAGTCAGGGAGGCTTTCAAACCCACTTTCACATACTAGGCAGGGAAGCGAAAACCCCCAGGAGGGCCACCGCCAGAACCCGCTAGCAGGAGGCATTCACGCCTGACAGAAGCTGCTGGGCAGCAGAACAGTCTGTGCAGAAGTGGAGACTTGTGCAGGGAACACCCCATTTCGCACTCTGTCCTCCGAGGCAGGCAGCAAAGGCATCCACGCCTGTTGTTCTGTGGTTCACACTGGGCAGATAAAGTGCACGTAAAGTGGGCATAGCAACCATTTCTGGACCGTCACGCCACCGACAAGGGGGAATTATTTAAAAGAACGAAAGCTCCCAGTGGGTTCAGAGGGCGTTTCGGTACCCCTGCACTGAAAAAGTAAATACAAAAAGTGGGGAAGGATTTAACCCGCGGCTGCTAAGGTTTTTAAAAATCTGTGAGTGGGACACTCATTTCACGCGGGGCCATGAAGCTCTGGGCACACACGTTCGTTGCAAACCGGGCCGGTGGGTCTGGTATCGCTGCCTTAACTCGCACCAGGAGTCCCAACGCCTTCCAGTTAACGAGTCCGCAGGAGACTGTCTGCACGAAGCAGAAGGTGCAGCCCCGCTCAGGGCTCAGCCACGCGCGTGGCCATCCCGGGACTCCTCTAAACGACGTTTTCCAGGTAAGGATGACAAGGGCTCAACGCCGCGGTCACTTACGTCGCCCAGAGAGTCGCGCCTTCAGCGGGACGACCTAACGAAAAACGTTATTCCTGCGCAGAACCGGGTGCAGTCCGGCTTCCTTAGCAAACACTACCGAGTCCTCGCTTAGGTTTAAGACGGCCCAGCTACACAGCTGTTTACGGAGCCCACGCAGCATCAGGAACGAGTTGTTAAAAAAGGTCTTTTTAGCAGCGCGCTCAAACCAAAGCCACCTCTCATCAGGAAAAGCCGACACGAACAGCAGACCACCGGCGGGAATACGTTCTCG